CTGACCTATATTGCAGATAGTTCTGAATTCTATGCATAAGTATCAACCAAGAATTCATCTTGTTCGAAAAAAGAACTTCCCAAACACTCCAATCAGCGATCTCGAAACGGAAGACTTCAGGACGTTTGTTTTTCCTGAAACGTTGTTCACAGCCGTCACAGCCTATCAAAATCAACTTGTAAGTATTCACATTTCTTTCAATTGCACATTAGAGTTCTTTTTTTTGACACTTATAGAAGGAACTTTTGTCGTTAATTTTCAAAATACTTGTGATATGCTTTAAAACCTGTGTAGTGGGAAAACTATCACTAAACAATTATATAAGTGAGACACCCTAAATGTAAATTTGAAAGTTCAATTTATTATACATTTGAAACTTCTAGTATTTTTGTTTAAGATCTATTTACCATGTAAAGAGATTTAATTATACTTATTTTTATGATTAATATTAATACTGTCCCCCCCCCCCCAGTGACACAGCGGCATGTCTGCGGACTTACAACGCTAGAAACCGGCTTTCGATACCCGTGGTTGGCAGAGTACAGATAGCCCAATGTGTAACTTTGTGCTTAATTACAAACAAACAAATATTAAAACTATTGTTATTTGTGATTTATTTACAATGTTATGCGATTTAATTATATTTATTTCTATGACTAACATTAATACTATTGTTATTTTTGCGGATATTAATTTGAGCTCAACATTTAATTGGAGAAGTTAAATACACATACATACACAAATACACACACACACATATATATATATATATATAAATATATATACCTTGTAAATAATAAATGGTTTAATTTATTTCACATAATTAATATGCATACCATCAAATGTGTTTATATTTGACTAACATGACAGCATGTTAAATAGTTTGTGGTCTGCTTGATAACGGTAAATTCGACAAGATATTTAGTGGGAAGTAATTCTATGTCTATGACTGAATTCATAATACATAAATAAAGACTGAGCACAAACGTACACTTGCAATAAACTAGCTTTATTTAAAACAAACATAGTTAAAATGTATACTTAACTGGTTAGAAAAGATAGTTGCTATTAATGTAGAGTTTGTTCTCTCTCATTGATCTCAAGTTCTGAGCTGTATCTCTCAAGGTCGTATTCGAAATTAAACCACCTGAAATATTGTTCTAGACTGGATAATTCTCACGTTAGATACTTACCCAGAGCTACTGACACTAAACACGTGATTAGTCATTCCTAAATGAAATACAAGAGAAGTCACTACCTCCCGAGTTCACCCGACCCACAGTGGAAAAATATGCTTGTCTACCTTCATATTCAGTTATCATTCTCGGTGCTACTCTAGGTGTATGACATCGTACAATAGGCAGATAAAGTGAAAGGAATTCAATACAATATTGTCCAATGTGGTAGGAAGACAAAGCAAAATGAGAGATAGAAAGTATATAGCATGTTTATATAAGACAAGTTTACGAAAAAACTTTTATTAGCTTTTACACAATGATCCAAGTATTGCTCAGTGGTTATCATACCGGACAGTAGATTTTATGTTTTGTGGTTCGCGCCGCGTTACCAATAAAAATAAAAAACGGGCTTTGTGAGTGCATTCATTATAACAGAAACAGTCAAATCCCATTATTCGCTTACAGTAGCCCACGAGTTGGCGGTGGGTAGTGTTGACTAACTGTGTTCCCTCCAGTCTATCACTTAAGAACTAGGGGCGGTTAGAGCATATATCCCTCAAGAAGTTTTGAACGAAATTCAACAAAAAATAACAACAATAAAATATTGTATACTTGGAATTTACACACATCTTTGAAATGCGGCTATACTAATACTTGTTAGTAATGCAGGATTTAGCATAAAGTTTGCGTTTTCTATTACGACTTATCTTCCCGCTCAAAAGTATAATATTTGAGATAAAATCACTGAGGATTAAATGTGCTGATATACTTAAAGCACACTTCTTTTCACGCTTAAGGTCAACCTGCTACTTCGCATGTAAAGCCACTATTAACATAAAAAGATATGCAAATCAGTCATGAGTATGATAAAAAAATCTACCGCTCTGACTAATATTTCAAGGGGGAATTATTCATTTATCAACAGCTTTATATAAAAACACTGTTTCATTAATAGTAACGAGCAAACTCCAAAGGAAATTATAATAATAAACTAGCTTCTGTAAAAACCAACAAATCACAGAGTTTGAATTTTCAAATAAATTGATTTTGAGCTTAGGAAGTATTCCATAAATGACTTTTTAAGATAATTTGGCAACCAAAGACTGAATAATAATTTATATTCATCTTATAGGTCATTAAAATAAGAAAAAAAAAGTAGAAATATGAAAGCATACCGCTATCGTCGAGACCAACTAAAATGTATTATTACCTTTAAAAGCAGCAAGCTGACATGCGTGGGCTTTCACAAGTCACGCAACACTGACCTTTATGTATTAAACCAAATGGCAAACCGCTCAAGCTTAATGCGAATTTTATCTATTTGGTAACGCTGTTGGTAAAAGTACATAATACATTATAATGAAAAATAAGGGGAGTTATTCAAAAGAATGCTTTCAAACACCGAAATAATCAATAGACTTAAACAAGCAAGAGTGTTTTCGCATGTCGAAACCTTTTAATTTTAAAATGAAAAATAATTTAGTCTCTCTTGTAGATTATTATAAAGATTATTATTTAAGTAGCTCGCAAGTTAAAGAATTAAACTGTATAAAAAATTAATGTATAAGATAGTGTAATTTTTTTATTTATTTTTCTTTGTTTCGGGTTACATTTAACAATTTCTTACTGGATATTTGATGAAAATGGAAGATTGTCTTCAGTTTTAATACACTGTCAATGCCTCTTGTAAACTCTTAAATTCCTTATGGATATTGCATTTTATATATCATAATGTTTGTTTGTACTTAAGCACAAAGCTACACAATGGGTTATTTGTGCTGTGCCCACCACAGGTATTGAATGTCAATGCCTCTTGTAAACTCTTAAATTCCTTATGGATATTGCATTTTATATATCATAATGTTTGTTTGTACTTAAGCACAAAGCTACACAATGGGTTATTTGTGCTGTGCCCACCACAGGTATTGAATGTCAATGCCTCTTGTAAACTCTTAAATTCCTTATGGATATTGCATTTTATATATCATAATGTTTGTTTGTACTTAAGCACAAAGCTACACAATGGGTTATTTGTGCTGTGCCCACCACAGGTATTGAAACCCGGTTTTTAGCGTATAAATCCACAGACGTATCGTTGAGCCACTAGGGGATTTGTTTGTTTGTAATTAAGCACAAAGCTACACAAGGGCTATCTGTGCTCTGCCCACCACGGATATCGAAACCCGGATTCTAGCGTTGTAAGTCTGCAGACATACCGCTGTACCACTGGGGGCGCCACTAGGGGAGCATAAAATAAAGTATAAAAACGAAATAAATTGCACAAACATTGTAATACCTCATCTATTTAAAACGTATAATATCATACAAATATAATGTAAAAATACATTGTGCAAAGGAAACCGTCTTATTTTTTTTTCAGCTTTGGAGGGTGAACAAACAATAATCTGAAAATTCTTTAATTTAACGTTCTCCTTTACTTATTTAAAAATATCAAATAACTCTGACTTTTAGATGCTTTTTTATTACAACCAATATAAAAATCCATATATAGAGACATTTTCAATAAAACAAACGAGACTTATCTCAAAGCAAGGTATGTTTTATACTTTCTATTATGAGTATTTTCATACCTTAAACTTTTTTTTTATTTAATGCCTTATTACGACATATTAAAATTCATAAAATCATGAACCAACTTATGAAAAATACTGTTTTTATTTTTGCCAAAATCGGCAAATACTTTACATGTTATGTTGGTTTTTAGAAATAGCGAGCTCGAAATATGTTGTCTTCCATCTTCCACAAACAATGTCATAGTACCATTTCAAATAATGACAAGATATAAGGAGGTTGGCAAAATGTTTTCCATACTGCGCCCCCCCCCAGTAGCTAGAATCCGGGTTTCGATACCCGTGGTGGGCAGAGCACAGATAGCCCATTGTGTGTAGCTTTGTGCTTAACTTCAAACAAACAAACAAACCATACTGCGCAAGGCATATAGCCTATCTCGGTTTAAACCTAACGTGCGGAATTAATTTGAAATTAGAATTCGGGTCTGATGTGGACATACTGTAGCTCACAACATTCTTAACCTACCATTCACTGTTTCGCAGTAAACTAAAATTAAATAATAGTGTTGGCTAAAACTTATTCCTGAATTTGCCATCTCATATAATTGTAAATCACATCATATGTTACGTGCAAATATTTAAATTAAAAGGTTAAATAAATATACTAGCGTATAAAATAATTTGAATTAAGACTTCTGTGTTAACATCTTAGAATATGTTTAAAAAAACGAAACACGTGTTAATTCGAACTATCAGTGAAAATAAAACTTCTTCATTTTTTCGATAAAATATTCATTTATTCACAACCGCCATATAGAGAATGAGAAAGGTGAATGTATTAAATAAACGCTAGAGAAAGAGGTACCTAACTGTGTAGGGCCTACAAGAATTCACTACCTGTAAATATTAATGTTTCCTCTATTTGCAGATCTCTCATGTGATTGTAAAGTAAAATTAAAATTTATGAGCAGATGAGGGTACTCCATTTAAAACGTTCATATGCAAGGATCTGTATAGTTTTTCAATTCCTTTAACTATAGAATAAGAATTGGTTTGGTCTGAATTTCACACAAAGTTAGATGAGGACTATCTGCGCTAGCCGCCCCTAATTCAGCAGTGAAAGACTAGAGGGAAGGCAGCTATTCATCACCACCCATCGCCAACTCTTGGGCTACTCTAGTTTGACCGAATAGTGAGATTTGACCGTTATTCTTCTAGGACACCGACGGCCCCAAAGTGTTTTTGAGACGACCTTCTGGTTTACAGTTCAGGCATGCTACCTGTTTGTTTGTTTGTTTTTTAATTTCGCGCAAAGCTACACGGGGACTATCTGCGCTACCTGCCCCTAATTCAGCAGTGAAAGACTAAAGGGAAGGCAGCTAGTCATCACCACCCACCGCCAACTCTTGGGCTACTCTTTTGCCAACGAATAGTGGGATTGACCGTTACATTATAACGCCCCCACACTTGAAAGGGGAGAATTTTTGGTGGGCTCGAAAATTTGGGGTTCGATTCCTGCGGTTGGCACTGTGTAAATATCCTATTGTGTAGCTTTGATTCTAAGCTAAAGCAACTGCCATAGGTTGTGCAAAAATACAATTGAACGGATAACTTTATGACATGAAGGTATCAATTTCAACGACTTGTTGATATCTTTAACATGGGGGGAAAAGGTTTCACAAGATAGAAGAGCAAAATAAAGAAAATGTAGATCCAGAAAAAAAAGTACTAAAGACGCAAGCTACCAATTCCTCATCTTGTTAGTAATTGGATTTATAATTACTTTCTGCCAACCACCTACTTTCTAAGGGTTAAAGGTAATTCAATCTAACCCTTTAGAACCATGCTGGAATAATAATAATAATAAAATATATATATACAATAAATACCTTAAGTAGGAGTTTTTGATTTAACGCTCGCACTGCGGTATCTTTACGAGCGTATATATATATATATAATTTCCATTTTTAAGCCCTTAAGCCATCAGAGGGCCCTATGAAAGTTTCCAATCTCTTTCAAACATTTTACGTTAAAACGGTTAACACCTTGTTGGAAATTGAAGTTTTGAATTAATTAATATCTTTATATCATATATTTTCTGTTGGATTGCATTTTTGCTCAAGCAATGGAAGTTCCACATCTCTTATATCATGTATGATATATATATATATACACACATACACGAATTAGATACAGGATGAATACTTGCAATTTGATTAATAAGCCATCTCTTGGATTCTTCTATCTACGACGAGATGGCTAGAATGTTAGATTGTATCAAATTTCTTTCAAAATCTATTTGTAGCTTTGAGTGGCTCAGCTATCCCAAATGCATAAACTTAGGTTTCATTAATTTCACTAGCGTTTGAAGAACTGATGCGCATCAAAATTCGTAGTGTCCAGAATGTAGACTAAAAGTCGAAGCTCTTAAGTGTGTGTGTGTTAATTGCAGAGACCCACAAAACATTTGCGGTCAAATTAGCATATTTATTACAGAAGCACTCTTTAAATAGAGGACTTGTAGAATAATACAACACAAATTGTAATCGGAGACACCGAAATCTGTTACTTAGGCGTAACATTAGTTAAGTCTTTAATATGTACGGCCTATATTCAATAAAGAGATAAATTAACATAGAAAACTGTCTGTCCTGAAAATGCGCATGCACCTTACTATTTAAATGCGCATGCGCTCGCATTTTATTTCAACGGATGAAAACAAAAGGCGGATGTATATATATTTTAGAATAGCATTATAAGTTTGTTTGTTGATAGTATTAAGTACGGTAAAGTTTAGCCCTAACTAAAGTAAAAACTGATATTATTATAATAGATTGTGTACACAGTTAGTAGAACATTTCGAATTAAAAAGGATCTGTGATTTCTGTTTAATTTGATATTACTTAAGTGTGTTTATAAATAAATACATGTGCATATGTATTCAGGAACAATATCGGTGCTGTAACTTGATAAATAGTTGTTGTTTATAGTGTTTCTTATGTTAATCTGTAACACTTCTTTTCTAGATAACAAAACTGAAAATTGACAGCAACCCCTTTGCTAAAGGATTTAGGGAATCGTCTCGTATAACGGGAATAGAAAGGTACGTAATAAATATTCAGTCTTGAATTTATTGACTACAATAATGATTTACATGCCTTAAGGAAAGGAGTAACCTCAGTGGGTATATCCCCAATGGCCTTCGAATTCGAGAGGAGTTCACTGTAGATGTTCCCATAAAGATGTCCACAGAACACAGATTCTTTACTGAATTTGGAGAGCCAACAAGCCCCTCTAATCCCTTCTGAATAAAAAAGGGAAACATTTGTCCTAAAGGTTTATCTGACAAGGAATGCAATATCAGAAAACGAGGTACAGGAGCAGCATGAGGTGAAGATTGATTATCAGAGTCCTCAAGGCATGTTCGTTTACCAATCAGCGGAGTTTTTACCATTTTATTTTTGTTTGGATTTGGGGGATCCATAAGAAAAAAAGAAAGATTCCATGTTCACTGACCCCACCCAACATGGGGTCCTACGAGGAGACACACTACAATGTCAAACAAGGACACTGGCAACGCCAGGGTTTCGTGAGCACTATACCCAAATATAAGCATCAGACACAACACCCACTGAGAATGTCCAACAATGGTACTCAGTTGATCCTAGCCCAACAGGACCAGCCGATTGACCCTAGGGGCCTCCCCAGAGCCACCCATCTACGGGAATTCAAGGCCAAAGTGGTGTGTTGCAGTGCCCCAGACACCACTCAACCACCAGGATCCTCTCCTCCCCTTCACTCACGTAAAACACGTGGATGGATGTTCAGATCCCAGAGGAGGTAAACTGAAAATATAGAACCTTCTCTGGGAGGTCACCTCACCACGCACAGGAATCCACCTCGAGGGACTTCTCGGCGTTGATGACACTAATAACAGACTTCTCACTTTTGGAAACTTTGCTAGGCGCAGATTCTTAAGTTGGGTACTTTTGTCTCATTCAGTCAACATGCCAATTATGTTTTAGTTAGCATCAACAAAGCTACACGAGGAATATCTGCGCTACCCGCCCCTAATTCAGCAGTGTAAGACTAGAGGGAAGGCAGCTAGTCATCACCACCCACCGCCAACTCTTGGGCTACTCTTTTACCAACGAATAGTGGGATTGACCGTCACATTATAATGCCCCCACGGCTGAAAGGGCGAGCATGTTTGGTGGGGATGCGAACCCGCGACCCGCAGATTGCGAGTCGAGTGCCTTAACCACCTGGCCATGCCGGGCCACCTAGATATGACTCGACGCCTGTTCCGAGGCATTCGAAAAAGCCGTTTCAAGCTCTAAAGAGTAAAATGAGTGACGAAGATAATTAGCTCAGCACTTCTGAATAAATGAAGTAGTGTGATACATGCAATAATATGTTTGGGTCATTTCCAATGACCATTAGTTACAACTTTTCAAATGTCTTGTCCTACTAACAAGTCTACTTATTTTTGGTATACTCACTGTAACATATTTATCAGACATAACAAACTGGGAAACTTCTGCAGTTGGCTGGGAAAACTACACAATGGGCTGTCTGTTCTGTGCCCACCAAAGAGTATCGAAACCAGATTTTTTAGAGTCATAAACGTTCAGACTTACAGCTGAGCCACTGGGAGGCATACCGTAATTTAACAAGGCATTTTTTATTGATTTGTAAGAAAAGATAAAAAGTACGTGTTTAGTACCAAAATGAAAGCAGTAAGTGAGAACCATAATAAATAAACTGTACTGATAAAATAAATGAAATAAACATGCTTTAGACCTTCACAGTAGGAAGTTTACCAGTCGTCTTACGTACGCAAGAAGCAATGATACATTTAGTTGATGTTTGCTGGTTTATTAAGAACGGTTCACAAGTGTTAGGTGGGTGTGCTTTCAAACAAATATTGCTTTTGTTTCCAGACAGCTCTATAAAACGGTAAAAAACATCCTTGTATACCTTAGCCACACCTTGTCGCTTAACCCTTGGTGCTGACAGATTATCAATGTTATTTTCAGCGAAAGCTTCATTTGCATTTTTGAACTATCAATGCAAAAAACCCAAGTTTGTTGCTCCATTAAGGTCAAAGTTTCATTACGTGTTTGAAAAAAAACTTCATTGACAAAAACTTCTCCATCCCGCCGTACTGTTCATATAATTTTCGCCTTGCTGTGCAGTGCTATCATGACAATAAACCAAATATTTTGTCCCTGCTTCTTCCGCTTAACAAACACTAGGGTCATATAGCTTTTTATTTCAGAAACTGGTGGAAGTTTCATGTATTCAACTAAAAGTGTGTGGGGTTCGCCACACAAATAACTGTGATTTCCTCTTTATATAAAAGTTTGTTGGGGTTCACCACACAAATAACTGTGATTTCCTCTTTATATAAAAGTTTGTTGGGGTTCGCCACACAAATAACTGTGATTTCTCTTTATATAAAAGTTTGTTGGGGTTCGCCACACAAATAACTGTGATTTCTTCTTTATATAAAGTTTGTTGGGGTACGCCACACAAATAACTGTGATTTCCTCTTTATATAAACGTTTATTGGGGTACGCCACACAAATAACTGTGATTTCCTCTTTATATAAAAGTTTGTTGGGGTTCACCACACAAATAACTGTGATTTCCTCTTTATATAAAAGTTTGTTGGGGTTCGCCACACAAATAACTGTGATTTCTACTTTATATAAAAGTTTGTTGGGGTTCGCCACACAAATAACTGTGATTTCTA